GCCCTCAGTTTCAGGCTGAAAATACTCAGGGCCGGAAAGGCCCTGATTTAGCCTGAAACGACACAGGGCCTGTAGGCCCTCGTTTTCAGGCTTTCAGGCTGAAAACAGGGCCTGAAAACAACACGGGGTCTGTAGGCCCTTGTTTTCAGGCTTTCAGGCTGAAAACGACACGGGCCTGAAAATAGCCCGTGCAGCCTGTTGCAGGTGCAGCATGTAACACCCCCCCTGCTTATGAAGTCAAGTCGGGACGAGGGCGAAGCTGACGATCTGAAGGTGGAACCTGGCCGCGGGTGCGACGTGGAGCCGAGGATACCGGCTTGCCTTGCATCAGTACGCAAAATGTACCAAATATACGGTCGTACTGTTGTCGTAGCTGTGGTAAATGATCGGCTGATCCGGCACCACACCGGAAGATGTTGCTGAACTCGTCAAGCAACCGCACCACACGGGGGTCCGAAGACAAGGCCGTGGGGAAAGAATTGACGTGGCCGTCACCACTTGGCACCAAATCGAAGGTCGCGGAAGAGGAATAGTACACGGTACTTCGGCGCCGAAAGCGTCGCGACCGCTAAGAGTCCGCCGGTGGAAGTTGACCGTGTGATCTGCACTTGCAAGCCAAGGCATTCCCGAAATGATATCGAAGTCCGTGTCCAAAATGTCGAACGTCACCGGTTCGCATGCACGAGGTGCGAAATACACCATTGCGGCCTCGAAGTAACGATCGATAAGTTGTTGTGTCCTTCCATCCGCCAACTTGATTGTCGTCGGGTTTGCCTTCCTCCGAACTTGTGCGCCAAGGCCAACCCTTTGCATAAAGGCTTGGCTCATGAAATTGCGAGTTGCTCCGCTATCCAACAAAACACTGCAGGACGCTTGCTCATCTTGGATGCGGATATAAAGGAGCGGTGCGTTGTTGTTATCGTACTGCTGCGTGCGAAACTCGCGGGCCACCTTGGTAACGTACGCAAGGATGTCCCCCACCGCAACTCCGTCATCCATCGGCGAAGTTCATGGTGCATAGAAGGATAAGTGTGAAGATGAGCGCAGTGCTGCGAATTGCGATCCCGGCAAGCGGCCAGTGGTCCTCAGACGTGAGCGGGTCCAGTACCTCTATGTTGAACTCGCGCACCGAATCCCGTGAAGAACCACTTGAAGACGATAAGTCACCGCCGCCGAACGGAGAAGATGCCGCACACACGTCTTGTCCTTGAGCATGAGAACCCAGAGCAGAAACGAGCCGGGCAGCATAGTCTTCGTAAGAATATAGAAGAGGACTATCCACTTCCGTAGTGGGTCCATGGGGCTGAAGCTGCTGCGCCGGCCCCCGGGATAAATGTGGTGTTCGTCTTCATCTTGCAGTGTCCTCGACCTTTGCCGGGGTGGCCACCATCCCGGGCGGCTGCGAGTCTATCCCCTTCATTGGCAAACACGGCCTCGCTAGATTGGTCGGTTGGCGTTGCCGCCGCGACCACGGCCACTTTCGGCCGATGCTGATCTCTACTCGCGCCTGATAGGCCTCGTCCGTTTCCCCGGACTTCTGATCCATGCCGGCTGTTTGTAAGCGCATGAGCATTGATCAGGCCGGAGGACTGCTGTCGTGGCACTCCCTGCTGCTAACGTGGCACTGTTCGGCTGCTGTGTCCTGCTGACATGGCCTGCTGACGTGATCTGCTGACGTGGCAACTCACCAATGCCGCCGCAGGGGGTACCCGGAGACAGGTAGAGAAGGTAAGGCGAGAGGGGGCAACAACATAGGAGGGTGGGTGGGAAAAATCGCCCAGATAAGGAGCCACTAATGAAAAAAAAAAAGTTTGAACTTTGCAAATTTTTTTCGAGAAGATAGAAATCCCGACGTTTGCAAGTTCAGTAGGTCTCCCAATCTCCCTTGAAGTTCGAAATTACCAATGGGAAAAAAAATCTCGAACTTTCAGACTGCAAATGATTATAACTGTGTGTAAGAGAATCCCAAAAATAAAATACAGCAAAGTATTCGGAATTACTCAGATGCACAGTATGGAAAATGATAACTGCAGGAGGGATTCCCGTACCATTTTCAAAAAAGCAAATTTCGGGAAAAAAAGAATATTCCGAACTTCCAAATATCAAGAATTGCGAAAGGAAATCGAAATTTTCGAAAAGAAAGATATTCCGGATTTTCAATAACGAAATTTTGAATTTTCAGAAGAAAAACAAAAATGGAAATTTGAAATTTCAGATGTTGCGCTATTGCGATTTTCCACAACAGAAATAGCGAGAAAACAAAATCCAAGAAAAGAAAAAAAAATCGATTTTCGGCAGTAAGGTCAAAATCGTGATTTGGGGGGCTAATTAGTGTGCTCTAATCAATCAATCAAGACTAATCAGCTACCTAGTCCCCGCACACGTGTCAGATCCGGTTGTCCTGATTCACGTGCGGTGTTCCGATACCAACTGTTACATGCCTAGTTGGGCGATGTACATAAAAACCGAGGATCCGCAATGTGATAAAAAGGACTGAATGGACAATGCAGTGCAAATGTAATCTCAACAAGCAATGTGCATTCCGATACATACAAAAATGGTGCTTCATAGCGCAAGGAAGACTTAGATACAAATCCTGACCTGACCGGGACTGACCCCTTTCACGCAGTACAAGATAGCGAAGCAGAGTGTTAGAATACTAATGACTAGCCCAATCAATGTTTCAACGCAGATCAAACATACATCATGCTCATCACGAAATGTGAACGGGGCCTGGCGCTATACACAGGAAAGAGGCACCAGGTCCAGACATACACAGACGAAGAGGAAGGGATCAGACGAAGAAGAGGAAGGGGGAGATGGGAAAGTCGTCAACACAAAGTCTCGTTACAAGTCCCAAATAATCCCTCTTCAGAATTTCTGAAGTCCCATGTCGAGGCTGGATACAATGTCACCAAGCTCTTTCTCTCTCTCTCTCATAGTCTGCTGATGCAGTGAAGTCAGATAGTGAGAGGGTGAGAAGAAGATGGTGGACTGAGAAGAGGAAGAAGAAGAACTCTCTCCCTCTCTCTTGTATGCCCGGTACTAACCTGTGAAGTTGGCGCTGTGTTGCAGGTACCTCGAAGACGAAGCTGGAGCAACGGCGCTGCAGGTAAGTATCCCTGGCCTCCGCCTAATCTCTCTCTCTAGTGCTACTCTATCTATGGCGCCCAGCGCTGAAGACTACCTCTAACGCTACTAGCACCCAGCGCTGAAGACTACTGCTAACGCTACAACTACTCCTGCAGCGCTCCTCCAGAGTGCTGCTGCCGAATCCTGAAGACTACGGACTGCCTCCTGCCTTCACGTAAAGTGCCAGGGAAGTACCTAGGAGCTACCTCCCAACTACCTGCAGCCTGCAGGGCGGGCCAGTCTTATATAGTGCTGGCCCGTCCAGGAGGCTGCTCTTGCCAATGCCAAAACGTGCCAGACCCTGGGGTTGAAGCTCAAACAAAGGTTGTCTTGAATATAGGCCAAAAATGGCCTGAGCTAAAACCCTGGTCTGGTGCCTGAGTTTCAGGGCAGGTTGAACTGATGAGGGCCTGAAAATGGCCTTCAGTTTCAGGCTGAAAATACTCAGGCCCGGAAAGGCCCTGACTTAGTCTGAAACGACACAGGGTCTGTAGGCCCTCGTTTTCAGGATTTCAGGCTGAAACGACACGGGGCCTGTAGGCCCTTGTTTTCAGGCTTTTGGCCAGAAAACAACACGGGGTCTGTAGGCCCTCGTTTTCAGGCTTTCAGGCTGAAAACGACACGGGCCTGAAAATGGCCCGTGCAGCCTGTTGCAGGCGCAGCATGTAACACTCGGGGAGAGAAGCAGTCAGGACAGATTCAGTTTCCGAAAAGTGACAGGAAACCAAAATGATCTACAGTACCTTCTTTCCTTCAATGGTCTCTGGTACATCGCCGGCAGAAATTCTCTGAGCCAGCCCCTCAGCTATGGCAGTCTTTCCCACACCAGGCTCTCCAATCAGGCAAGGGTTGTTCTTTGTTCGCCGTCCAAGAATCTGTGTAACACGCTCAATCTGGGCTTCTCTCCCGACAACAGGATCAAGCTTACCCTGTTAAAATTCAGCCAGACAAACAGAAAACACCACACACACACACACACACACACACACACACACACACACACACACATGAAAACAAAACCAACGAACCAAACAAACAAACAAACAAACAAACAGGAAAAAAAATGGTTACATACACAAAAGTTGGAGATCCGGTGCAGCATGATAATACTAAATATGCCTTATTCTGTTTCCAGAGTGCTTGTTCTGCAAAGACCACGGATAATCTGGCGCAGAGGAGTCTCACTACACAAACCGCGGTGGGGATTGGGGGAAGGGGAAGATGAATGAATAGGCATTACTGCAGCCTAGCTACTCATACCAGTCAAAACATGATATGAGAGAACAAGAGATATTCATGAAAGAGACAGAAAGAGAGAGGAGGTGAGAGAGGGGGTGAGAAAGACAGAGGAGAGAGCAATGAGTAGACCGCTCACACTTGAGAAAGGACTCCATTTGCACACGATTAAGTGAGGCAAGCCATCGGTTAACGAGGATATACTAGAAAGTGAGAACATAGTGCCTGGTCCACATTCCCTAACCATCTATCTGAGGGAAAAGCCTTCAACCTTCACTAACAACAACAAGGTAGGCTTCGGAGGGTTGGTCAGCAGCAGGAACAGAAAGAACAACATTTCGACGACGAAATAAAATCCATTTATCCATTCACAACTGCCTCCTAACGTCAGTCAGAAGTGCCCTCCCTCATGCATGGGATGTTGGCTGCCTACGGCCAGAATTCCACCGCCTAGTTTTGCTTTGTTCGCACCGGGATGGAGAACCACCTACCTCTTCTGCAAGCTTGGTAAGATTTGTCCCGTACTCCTCCAACGTGGGCATCTTCGAGCTTCCTCCACTTCCCCCAACCCCGGCGCCTACAGCCTCTGTGCTCTCACCAACCATGCGGATGACCTGCCAAAACATCGATGCAGAAGTTTACAGAAAAGCAGTAGAAACTTAAAAGAGTGATTCAACTGCATAATGCATGTACAACAAAGCAAATACATGTCAAAAGATTTCTGCTATGTCTGCCATGCCATCAGTTCGATGGGCTTACCACTTGCTACTGTGTTATCAAATTTGGTTCTGTCAATTTCGATCAACACTCGCACACAGACGATCTCACACACACCCATACATGCATAAGAAGAACGGGGAGAGGAGACAGGGTACACACTGCACACAGACAGGGTAAGCAGCGGAAAACAGTTATGCACAGGTGTGAAGAACGCAATCAAGTTTGAGCCAATCTGAACGATACTCCCAACAACCAATCATAAGAAGACACTGGCAAGGATAACAAAAGAACGCAACCAAGTTTGAGCCAATCTGAACCAATATTCGTTACAGAGTTTATCCCAGTATCAGGCCATCACTGAACTTCACTCTCCACTCTCACACTGAGACCCAGTTAGTTGCGCTACACTAAAACCGTGCAATCAGACTCGCTTGCTTTTCCACTTCGCATTCACGCAAACAGATGGCAAGTCACACAGGCGCTCAGCACCCACTCAAAGATCAGAGATATGGAAGTCTGAAACACAGTTCAGATACATGCTGGCTTCAACAGGCTATGGCGCATCAGCGCCTACACAACTCTCTGCTCGTCACTGTACTCAACTCCGCTGTGCACACACACTCAACTCAGGATCACCCTGGATATCCCACACGCGACACACTGTATCACACACACGCACACACTACACTCGCCTACCACTACGGCGGCTATGGCCGCTTAACCCTGCTGGCTATGGCTACGCAACCTCTTCTCTGCCCACTTCGTCTTCGGGCACTCTGCGGACCACCTCGCACAAGTCGCTCAAGCAGCGCTTCCGCATGGCTTCCGCAGGAATGAATGATTGGCTGAGCGCTGCCTCTTGATTTATACTTCTGTAACTCGTTGGTCTGCCCCTTTCCCACGCCCCTGGTGCACACAGTCCCACACGGTACTTGCTTGACTGGACTGTGACTGACTGGGACTGGTACCACGGACTGCACGGGTTTGCAACTTTGCACTGCCAAGTCGATGCAGTCGCACTGCCAACGTACCACAGTTGGGCTCTCCACTTGCCCACTTGCCTCTGTCTAAACGTGAGAAAACTTCAAAAGGCCACTTCCGGACCTTCCAGAAACCTGTGAAATTGGCCTTCCGAATACTGTAGCAGCTAAGACCTTTACCTTTCAGGACTGCAGCAGCTACGACCTTGACCTTTCAGGACACCTACAGCTACGACCTCTAGGACTCACTAAGACCTATATCCAACAGGTCTACAGATCGAACCGCTACAACCTACGGACCTACGACAGCCTACCAACTGTTGCGAGTACACAGGTCATGGGTTCAACTCCCGGGGTCGACATAGGTACCGTACACAGGTAAGGTAAGTACTAGGGATCGAGCCCTGGGATCTGTTCGCTACTGCTAACAGGTGAATACCGTTTCACTCCCTCCGGCCTAAATTCGAGGTCCTCCGAGAATAATTCAGTCCAAGACCGGATTTTTACCTTTCTTTTCTCCCTCGTAGGCTCTAACTACGTCAGGAGCTGTTTCCAGAAGTACATTCCTAGTAAACCAGCAGTCGTGTAACGAGCGTGAGGCTAAGGGTGAGCCGAGGGAGAGGAGAGAGAGGGGGAGAGTGAGAGCACACACACACACTCACTCACTCGACACGACGGACTCGGACTGAGGATC